GGCTGCTTATACTAGTCCGGACTGATGCCGATTTATAGTGCTAGCTCACTAAGGTACCATACCGCAGGTCAACTTGAATACCCCACTCAGACCCGCTAACTGACTCCGAGCCGACCAGTCCTTGTTTAAGCCCTGTTTTAGTGCCAGACAGGGTAACAACAAGTACCATCTTTTAACGTCTTTTGGTATGACGCGGCCGGGAATCGAACCCCGGACTGGGCGGACGCTCTACCACTAGACCACGGAGGCGGTCCTCTTCATTTATATCGACATATGCCAGTGGTGGAGAGGACACCTTCCTCAACACCTGGTGTCATCTCAGCTAAGAAACACCTGGTGTCATCCGATTTACATGGTTTTTATGAGTATCATACATTCATTATTAGATTTTGAGAATCTCCTTACCAGGTTTTGTAGATGGCTTAGAAAGGCACAGGGGCAAATTAAATTTTCTTAGTCTCAGAGGAAGGACTATTTTGTTTGTTTGTTGTTTAAAGCCACTTTCTGCAATTTTCCAGCTGTATGGCGGCGGCCTGTATATCATCGAGTCTAGGCCAGACCATCCAGTGACTGATTCAATGAACAGCGTTCCACGCTGTCGGGTACGATGGAAGGCAATCACCGAGCCTGACCATCCGATCCATTTGGACGCCAGCATAGACAGAGGGGAACTATTCTAACGCGGGGTCGTCACTTACAGTTTGTTTGTTTGTTTCTTGTTTAACGCCGCACTCAGCAATATTTCAGCTATATGACGGCAGTCTGTAAAATAATTGAGTCTGGACCAGACAATCCAGTGATTGACATCATGAGCATCGATCCACGAAATTGGGATACGATGACTTATATCAGCCAAGTCAGCGAGACCGACCACCCGATCCCGTTAGTCGCCGTTTGTCAGTTATTTACAGACCGCCGCCATATAGATGGAATATTGCTGAGTGCGGTGTTACACAACAAACAAACAAACAAACTTGTAATCGGGCATCCTAGTCCTAGACCGTGGAATGTCTGCATTTCATGTCATCGAGCCGATTTAGATGATAGATATAGGCGCGCCTAACTAGCTGTATCCCGTGAAATCAGTGTTACAGTGGTTATCACTGGACAGAAATGTATCGTGTTATGAGTGAGTGAGTGAGTGAGTATGGTTTTACGCCGCTTTTAGCAACATTCCAGCAATATCACGGCGGGGGACACCACAAATGGGCTTCACACATTTTACCCATGTCGGGAATCGAACCCGGGTCTTCGGCGTGACGAGCGAACGCTTTAACCACTAGGCTACCCGACCGCCCCATCGTGTTATGAAGGAGACAGTATATCAGTATACTGTCTCGCGTACAATGAAGTGTGAAACTTGTATCTCGATTCTTTAGATGTACTATTTTAGCATTCCATTTTATAAAGCCCTAATAGTGCGCCAACATGTGTATGTACCATAGAACCCACTCCATCAAAGGTTAACCGAGGGAGATAAATCCATGTTCTAAGTTATGAAATTCATATTCAAAATGACAGTAAACACGACTGTTCATTTGAAACCTCCCTACAAACTTGCATTTGGGGAGGCTGGCTTTAGCGGTTTAAGTCAAAAGGTATACACTCTCGTTTCAAATGCATCGAAAGCTGGGTTTGTTCGGAAGTGTCACCACGTATGTAACCACCTTCGTTCTTGATGCGTTTCTCGTCATCAAATAGTCAGCGATACATGTTAGAATTGGCTGTCGATGTGAATGCAGATGTGAATGTAAAATGTCCACGTCAGAAAATGTCCCGTCTCGATTATCCTCCGAAATAGATTCTAGTGGGCGCAAAAGTCAAAATAGCGGTGAAAATTATAATTATGAATAGTGGTTAGTTTAACACCGCTTTTAGCAGTATTCCAGCAATATCACGGCGGGGGCCACCAGAAATGGGCTTCACACATTGTACCCATGTCGGGAATCGAACCCGGGTCTTCGGCGTGACGAGCGAATGCTTTAACCCCTAGGCTACTTATATGAATAGAAAATCAGTGATGACACCAGGTGTTCGCGAAATTGGTAAGGACTACCGGAAGTACACCCAGTCATGGTATTTGGTTGATACTCGTTAGGGAGCTGAAAATGAACTGATGCACTGACTACGGTCATGCTGCTGCGTCAGGTTGAGTTTGTCCATCTGTAATGTGGAGTTGTGTACGAAAAGAATAAATATCTTTGTTAGTATCATCATCATCATCATGCTTCTTTTCTCATTATGATTTCACTGTTTGTGTATTAAAGCGGTGTATGGTTTAAACATTTGGTTTATTTTTGATGATATGTTGACCTGAGAAACTAAAGACACGGCAAACAGCCGGAGATGATTATACTCAATAGGGGCCTTAGTTTAAATCTGATAAGCCCAGACCGTGGATCAGTTGCAGACTTTAGACAAACTGCAGTGTATGATTTAAGATGAAATCGATGAAGAGACTCCGGAGTGACATTTCAATGTAACCTTTGTCTGAACAAGAGAAACAGAATTTGAAATGCAAAGAAAAGAATGGTGCTTTCATATCCAGATTGTGCTGGCCATTATCGGAGACCAGCAATTGCATGAATATTGGACTACTTCAAAATGCCATAAATATATCCCGGATCAAACTGATATAAAACAGTCATATACAAATATGTTAGAACTATAAACTCAGAACAATCGAAAAACCATCGAGTTAATCTGAGCTCGATATAAGCGACCGAGTGAATATGGTTTTACGCCTCTTATAGCACTATTCCAGGAATATCTAGTAGGGGACACTAGACATGGGCTTCACACATTGTACCCATGTGGGGACTTGAACCCGGGTCTTCGGTGTGACGAGCAAACGCTTTAACCACTAGGCTACCCACCGTCCCTCGAGGTATGAAAAGTGAATATATAATACTGTAGTGGCAATACATACATGTGCCAAGTCCATAACATTAAATGTGGATGATATCTCGAGGATGCAAGAGCCGTGAGTGAGTGAGTGAGTTGGGTTCAACACCTTTCTGAACAGTATTTCAGTCATGTCAAGCAATGTTAAAACCAATTCCCTCACTTACCCAAGTTTAAATGTGTGTGTATTGGTAGTTATATCCAGAAATATCCTGGATGTAAGAATATAAAAACGTAAAGCAATGTTAAGGGCGTCTTTCTTAATATTCGAGTCTTGGTCAGGCAAACCAGAGGTTGATAACGCGAGCAATTGCAACACACAATCAATTTAGTGATAGATCGTGACACACGAACATCTAGCTCTTAAAGAAAACAATATAGTCCCCGAAAATTCTTGAAAAATATAACTATGCTTCATATTGATGGAAAAAAATGCCACTAAAATAACATTGTTGCAATGGATCTATTAAATTTGTTTTAATAAATATATATAAATAATATAAATAGAAAATACACACACACACCCTCCTTACCCCTAGAATATCAAATGGTCATGGCTACAGGGCCCTGTTAACAAGGAATCAAAGGGGCGGTCGGGTAGCCTAGTGGTTAAAGCGTTCGCTCGTCACGCCGCACACTCGGGTTCGAATCCCGACATGGGTACAATGTGTGAAGCCCATTTCTGGTGTCCCCCGCCGTGACATTGCTGGAATATTGCTATTAGCGGCGTAAAAAAATACTCACTCACTCACAAGGAACCCACACTGGTTGTGTTCTTTATGAAGCGTCGACAGGAAATACCTAATGTTACTACTTCACGCAATCGTCATGTCGACAGGTTATGAACCCATTAAGTGCTATTGCGTCTGGTAATGTCCTACAATGGGTCAGTTGGTCAGTGACTGGCCATATAGTACGTACCGGGAACATACCGGTCTAACGCAGCTCACAAGAAAACATATAACGCGAACTCGCTCAGCCATCAAGTACGATCTTATCAATTCTGCTGAAAATAGCATCGTTGTTTTCAGTCGAGACAATACAACAACCATTCGTTAGATGGGGGAAACAGAAAACTCATCCAAGTCTTACAAACCCCAAACTTTTTAGGAGCTCAGTCATGATAACAACGTGTATTGCCTCACGGCCTTCAAGAGGAAAAGCTAAACAACAAATCTGAGCAATGGTCTCTTCGTGACATCATCATCTCCCGGTTCCGTCTTTCATTGAATAATTGATATTTTGCCCTTTCACGCACATGCTGAATAAACAAGGCCCTGTCTCTTGGTGATAATGTACAACTAAATTGATGTAATTCCCTAAAATGTGAAGCCTCCCTTGAAGGGGGTACAATTACATGGAGTGGCTTGGAATAACGTTTGCTTGCAGTGACCTGAATACCGGAGCAAGGGCCAAGCTGCGACCTAGTTCCAATGTTTCAAAAATCGTTATTTCAACATCTGCTACAGCACATTATGCTCCGACATTTGAGTCCCGAGATACAAAAAAACATCACTCTGCTACTGCTTCTGGAGGATTGGGGCCAACTGGCCACAGGGGACACAGTTGACCACTGCATGTTGGGCAAGGGTTTGCAGCCTCTGCGTCTAGTATTGGTCATTGCGGAAGAATCGGTGCCTTCGAGGACAGAGAGACTGTATTATCAAATCAAACAGTGGATGTTTGCATTGTTAGAACTTAACGAGGAATGGCGCGTATGAGAACGACCTGCCAATGAGTATGTTATTCCATGCTTCCAATTAGAAACATGCTGTTTGGGGAGATTGTTGGCAAGGTAACCAAAACAGTATATTCGATAAGGTTATATCGCCATAAACAATAATGGTCAAATTTTGGTTCGATGTTATTTTGAGTGACCGTTTATCGGCACGGTGCAACCGGAGCGATAACAAATAGGAATCAAGTGATACAGGCTTGGATGATGCTGTACAAGGATAATTATCTGACAACGACGAGGATCCCCATATGGGCGAGTTGTCCGGAGCAGGCAGGATGCAAGTAATCACAGCCCACACGCGCCACACTCGTGTTACAGCGGCCCACAAAACAAAAGCAGAGCGAAAATACGAACTTACCTCCAATATACAGCGAGATGATAGCGGGAGCCACGCTTCTGATGCTAGAATCCCGCGGCTTGGAGCTCGTTCAGCCTTGTTAAAGAGCTGGCCGAAGCAGTGCTCGCTCGAACCTCTCGCTGTTTATATCAAATTAAGAAAATTTGATTCTCATCTACTACTGCCTGTTTAGCACACAGGCGAGTCCGGCAACTGTCTATTGATTTTGCCCCTCGCTCATGTCCAAACGTTTAAGGTAATGCAATTCCATTGTACGGAGCCCAAGACCATTATGCAGACGACATGCAGTGTGGGTAATACAGCGCTTGGCCTCGCACTAGTTACCTCCCTTCCATTACCGACAGCCATTACGCAACATGCGCACCAGGGGTGGTAATGAATTATCAATATGTTATTCAAGTTCAACAAACGTCCAACCGAGATAGGAATCGGGGAAGTTCGGAAAACGTCGGTTCTGAATCGGAATATTTCGGAAATCTTCGGTGTTTGGGTCGTAACACAATGAAGGGACCATCGCAAACAGCTGACATTTCATTACCGTTATTTTCATACAACCACAAGTTCTCGATTGATCCTCTTATAAAGTAATTAGCTAGGGAAGCGGGCGATTGGCATTTGCATTAGTTTTCAATTTCCTATCCATAGAAAGTGTTATGGGGCGAAGGAGCTGGACCCAAGCTGAAGTGGCGTAATCTAGTCTTTTCAAGAGGGGACTTTCTGCTCCAGTGCCAGATTTTCGCCGAGATGTCCCGATGGCGAGTCGGACCCATTTAATCGATTCAAACCGATGCAGTGAATATTTGGCGGCAAAGGGGTCCTACAAGTTGGTGGAAGTTGAAAGGCAGGCTTGATGTAGTGTTTGCCGCCAAATAATTGCTTCACCCCGCGCCATAGTTGTCTCACCCTATCACTCTTATAGTGGAAGACGATTGGCAGCTATCTGCGTGGGGCACGGCCCGTGGCAGTTTGTTTAAGCCTTTAGTTCCCTTAAATGAATTTGATTACTTTGCTGTGTCTGGATCGTATTTTTCAGAATGTCATCAAGTTTGTTTGATTTCCGTATGTTTTAGGTTTGGACTTAAAATTATTGACAATCTTTTTTTTATATTTCAATCAAAAATGGCTCTATATATTTGCGTGAAAGCAGTGCACATAGGAGATTCGGGTTAATTTTCCAACATCGGTACAATGTGTAAGCCCCATTCTTGGCGTCCTCCGCCGTAATATTGTTTGAATATTACTAAAAGCGGTGTAAAACAAGACTCACTCTTGGCTAATATCATACATTCCGAGAAATGGCGCTCAACCAGTCCGGTCCTTATCGTGTGAAGGTTCTTGTGACTGTCGACCGCCTCCGTGGTCTAATGGTAGAGTGTCCGCCCGGAGAGCGGAAGGTCCGGGGTTCGATCCCATGCCGCGTCATACCAAAAGACGTTAAAAGATGGTACTTGTTGTTACCCTGTCTGGCGCTCGGCATTAAGGTGCTAAAACAAGGACTGGTCGGCTCGGAGTCAGTTTACTGTGTCTGAGTGGGGTATTCATGTTAAACTGCGGCATGGTATCTCAGTGAGCTTGCACTATAAATCGGCATCAGTCCGGACTAGTACAAGCAGCCGCACACGCACACACACACACACATATATACACGTGCATGTACGTCGCTATATAATTAATCAATAATCTTGGACGCGACTTTAAACCCCATTTCACCTCACCTCAACTTGTGACTGTCTTTTGTCAGTGGGGCTAGTCCTCCTGGGTCCACAAACGAGAATAATCGGTCAGTGATTTGGTTTGTTTATTTGTTGTTAAACGCTGCACTCAGCAATATTCCAGCTATCGGGCGCGGCCTGTATATAATCAAGTCTGGAACAGAAAACTCAGTTATTGATATCATGAGGACCGTTCAACGCTGTCCGGGCTCTGTCGATCATCCAAGCCACCGAACCTGACCACCCGATCCATTACGTCTCCTCTTACGACAAGCATGGGTTGCTGGGGACAAATTCTGTCCCTGAATTTCCAAGCTATAACTTAGACATAATATCATACAATTTAAACCTTAACACATCATTCTTTGACAGTAAGGACTTATCTGTCAGCTTGAACCTCAGACATTCGACCGGGGAACATAACTCACAACACATTGTTTGCACGAATTACATGCACGGCTGCTACCCGTGAAGATCCCGGTTAGAATAGGTCTTCAGGAACCCATGCTTGTAATAAAAGGCGACCATGCTTGTCGTTAGAGGCGACTTACGGGATCGGACGGTCAGACAAACAAACAAACGAGGCACGGTGGCAATCCTAGTCTAACATACAGTCTCTGAAAATATTTTATTACACAGGACAGGAACATTAAATATTGCATTGCACATAAAATATAGACATTATTTTTGTGGCGTTTACATAGGAACAAGACACATGTAACTGTGAAGAGTATTTGAGCAACATTTGCGTCTTAATGACCACGAGCCACCTGTCACAGTCAGGGAGGGAAACAATATAGAAACAATCAAGAATAGAACTTCAGCAACCCATGCTTGCCCTAAAAGGCGACTATGCTTGTTGTAAGAGGCGACGAACGGGATCGGGTGGTTAGGCTCTGTGACTTGGTTGATGCATATCATCGTATCCCAATTGCATGGATCGATGCTCATGATATCAATCACTGGATTGTCTGTTCCAGACTCGATTATTGACAGACTGCCGTCATATAGCTGGAATATTGCTGAGTATGGCGTTAAACAACAAACAAACAAACAAAATAATTATCCGTCTCGGCTTTTGTAAATTAGCAGTGAACTAGAATTTACTTCTTCCACTAACCTGATGATGCTTAGGGTCGATTTGCAATTTCTATTGTCTTTGTGTACCACCCACAATCGTCATTTTCTTCTACATTACCTTGTTAACCCCGTTATCAAGCGTTAGTGGATGAATGTTATTTGATGCCGCTGAAAGTAGTTTCCAGCTCTATCACAGCAGTCCCGACAAGAAACCAGGGTCTGCTTCCATGAACAACGACCCATTCCATTGACCCCGCCTCTTTCAACGATCAGGAAATATCATAAATCTATTCTGCTTCGGAACCCGCAAGGGGGCAATTATCAAAGGGAATGACTATACAGACCAAACGAAAAAATATTCAGTTAACTTTGGTATAATTGCCACAGAATTCTTATATATTCCTCCGACAATAAACTATCGAGCCAAAGAACGTTACACCCATGTATAAAGGTAGCTAAAATGAAACAAACAAGAAATGGTTATTTGATGGTGATGTATTTGATACGGGTATCACAGTTGTGTTTTGGGCCTTCCGTTTGTTGTGTTTCGGCGACTGTTTTCAGCCTTGTAATTTTGTTGTCGAATCCATTTTTTATGTGTATACTTTCTTTGCCTGGCAGTTTAGTATATTAAAACAAACAATATTCGTACCCTACACCGTGTCCTTCTGATATACCAGTGTTCGAAATACCTGCCTGCCCGACCGTCCGAGACGGGCTGATTTCAACTCGGGCTGCCAGATTTTCAAATCCCCCTGCCCGACGGTCGGGTTATATTTCATATGTAAAAATATTCTAAATATTTCCGGATGATAAGCATTATTTACATGATGTATTCTAGGATATTAAATACAAATCTAACCTAAAAAGAGTTTGCTATTTCTTTTCTTGCATTACTTCATGTTCAATGAATTCGATTTAAAGTTTTAATTAAATTATCCTTAGAAACATATGATTATAGTGGGCAGGCAGGTTTTGGTCAGGGCTGACAAGTATTTCAGCTAGCCAGTCCTGTGGTCTGGCTGAAATTTATTGGAGTTTCATACCCTGGATATACACAGGCCATATCGGCGATAGTGAGATACTATAGCAGCATCATGACAAAAAGTATGACGGTGCAGCCATATGTCTGCGAATCGTTACAAGGCCATTCCCGGCACCGCGAAGAGCTGGCGTTATTTGGGTTAAATTAGATGGTATTACGCTGACCTGCAAGATTAACCCGTTTTCAGCTCTAATGCGTGTTCGATAGGATGAAGGGCGGACCAGTGTTGGTCAATCCTTTTTGTCAATGTTTGTCCATGGACGCCTCTAGCACTTCCGTGGTCATCCATTGACAAAAGTATCCGTTATCTACAATTTAAGTCTTATATCTACACACAAAATACTTGTCAGATGTATATATGCGTACATGTGTATATCTGCAGCTCAGTTCAGATGTGGCTCTTATGAACCCTCTTCTGGAACGTGACGTTGTATAAGAGTGAGTGAGTGAGTATGGGTTTACGCCGCTTTTAGCAATATTCCAGCAATATCACGGCGGGGGGCACCAGAAATGGGCTTCACACATTGTACCCATGTCGGGAATCAAACCCGAGTCGTCCGCGCGTTGTATAAGAACTGATAGAAAAAACAAATCATATACATTATGTAACTTGAATATAATTGAAGATGAAGTCTGTTTCTTTCCTGGGTGTAAATAATATTCAGTTTTGAGAATTAAATATATGAAACAATATTTCCATTTTTTTTCACAAATATTCAAAAGTTTAAACCTTCAATGGCCACCGACAACATGTGTACACTTGGTTCCTTATAAAGAACTATCCAGCATGTAATGATGAAAGACTTGTCCTGTTAGGTAGCTATAGTCTGTCACAACAACTTGTCACCGTGTACCATGGGTCGACTTTTTGATATCCGGGATTGGGTCTCTGGAATTTGGGGAAGAAAACAAATTGTCCTCATTTTTACCCATGCTGAAAAAGTTGTCACCATTAAGTCCTCGAGTGTTTTTAAATTGTACGTGTCCTTCTTTCAGAGAAAAGAATTGGTTGTTTTGATGCAGAGACTGAATAAAATATCCTGTCTGTATCAAATATCCCAGGACCCCCTACCCCACCCTCACACACAGAATTTAAAAAAAAGATGGTCCCATAATAAGTTTCAAAGGACAAACGGTACTTGAATACATCTGTGAAAAGAATGGATCTTGTTTCCGCAGATTACACGTCGCAAGTGTCTTTTAAAACTTAAATGATTAAACTGGATTAACGGGTTTCCACTTTAATATATTGTTTACAAAGACATAGATATACAATAAAGTGCATTCATCCAAACAGCCACGTAATGATCCATCTACATGCATCTCCCTATCTATATGTACATATATTGATGCATTATTTGATTGGAGGAAATTAAATCAGTGATATCACACGCCTCGTTCGACAAAGCAGTGGATAAAAATCAATATTGAACCCCGCACTGAGAACGAACACAATTGTTGGTAC